ACGAAGGTTGTCCGGCTGTCGCTTCGTCAGGTCATCATCGTATGAGAACGCAGTTCATGCAGTCCTGCTGCGTTTCCATCCCAACTCTGTCCTGAATGACCGTGCTCAGCGTCTGCACAAGTGTGGGGTTAATAAGCAGGCGTCTCGCCGACGCTTTCACCTCCGAAAACACGTTTCCTACCGGGTTTAGCATGTACGAGTAGGGCGACAAACACTACAGTTGATAAGACGAACCAAGGATCCTCCTTAGCTCATCAGGCATGTGGATCCTGGCATTGTCCATGATCATCCATGCGCCTTTCATCTCCATTCTGCAGCGTATACGCGCCAACACTTCCTTGACGAACGCTGAGAACTTCGCACTTTTGCAGGTGCCATCGTTAATGGTCTTTGAATGGATGACGCCTTGGTTATTCATTGCAACAATCAGGTTACCATGCAACCTCTGACTGTGGGTAACACGACGTACGCGCGCGTCCTCAATTGGCGTGCCTCGCATAGTCGTGAATAAAATATTTATTTATTTATGGGGGAGGTGTAGGGGAAAATAGGTCACCGATTTTGACCAAGGCGAACGGCACTCATGTCAAGAGAAGGGCTTACACAATCACACGCTACGTACGCAGTTCGGTTACATTATCGTGACCACAATGTGGCCTGAACATCCTGTAATCGGCCCACTCCTCAGTAGTTGATATGTTGCAACAATAGGCTATAGCCCTAGACTGGTTTTGCTGGGGGTCATTACAGCCTACGCGGATACAATAACGTGGCAGGTGCGAAAGCTAATAGAGAGACGGGCGAAGCTGGGACACCGCCTACCTGCTTCATCCGACATGGTCCCATTGACCGATTCGGACAAGGTTCTCTCTAATGAGAATAGCGGCGCACATTGAGATTGCGCATCGCAATCCACTCACAAAATGATTGATACACAATTATGATCCGGAAGTCCGATTTTTCAACTGTCACACACCTACACAGGTTGATGCGTATGGGCACTGCACACCAACTAGGCGAAGGTCAATGGGGATCGGGGAGCGTAGTTCAGAACTTCTGTCGCTACTCACGATCAAGCAAATGTTTTACAGTGTAGCCCGCTGCTTACACAATGCCGGTGTATTAGCGTCATCACAAGGTATATCTGAACATCATTCAGCAGTCTTACTGCTCTTTTCTTACCAACAAATTGGCCAATTGCTACTTGGATTGCAACGTGTCCAATTTGTTTTGCAAAATGTCCAGTTTGGTTTGCAAGATGTCCACTTTGGTTTACAAAATGTCTAGTTTGGTTTGAAAAATGTCCAGTTTAAAGTGAAAATGGTATATATATATATGCAATTAGCTTATAGCATACCGGAACAAATACGTCCATCAAAAGAAGACGCCAGGGGTGTGATAATGAAAGCCAGGTGAGTCACCCGGTTCATGCGCCGCATAACCTGATGCTCTAGGTCTCAGTGAAACGAAGATGCTGCCGAAACTTGTATGCATGTACAGCTAGGTATTTAAGGGCATAAAGATTACCCTGATTTAAATGGGACTTCTTGAACAGTAAGTGTAGTTGTGCACATTAAGGTCTTGCGAAGTCAAATATGGAGAAAAAGGTCTGCCTATCAGTAATAGACTAATAAGTTTGACCAGCATACTGTTTGAAAAGCCGATGAGCGATTTTCAGTAGGGTTAACTAATAAGAGTTAAACTGTCTCTTAATGTACCACATGATTTTGAAGTACTTAGTTTGTCCAACGTATTGGTTTGCAGACCGTGAACGTTTGTCTACTGCATTGAAGATCAGCTACCTTGCGGACGTGCTCTCCGTTGACCTCTCTAAATCACCTTGCTTGAAACTATCACAAAGCTGATCTCTTAGGTTACGTCAGGTTGCGCCCTTCACGGAGTTTCTGCATTCATGTGGGGAAGAGAGCAGTAGGTACGCGCGGGTCGCAGCCCGTCATTTAGGCCAGCGGTCCTCAGTGGTAATCCACAAGGCTAAGTCCTAGGGTCGTAGCTTTTCCTACCCATGTAGACAATCTCATTGCTGAGCTTGGGATATCATCGCTATAGTTTCCCAATGAAATTATTATGTGGAATATGGTAGTAAACCTTGAGGATCCTGCTACCCTTCAACATGTTCTTGACAAGCTCTGGGAATAGCCTACTTTGTGGCTGTTACCAAACATTAATATTAATGTACTATATTTCAAATAGTAGCAAGTGGCCTTCTTTGAGATTCCTGGTCGGTAAGGTCGGCCTTCATCTTTTATGCACCCTAGCCTTCCTACATCTCTTCCTTTAGTTGACTTCGAGTGCTAGAGAAAGAGAAAAATGGCCGCAAGCATTGGTTCCGTATGCTGTGGTTACTACCACGTTTCTTCGAGTTCTTAACTAACCACCTCTTTGTGAAGTGTTTTCAAGTTTCGTTCGACACCATTTGGAATATTGCGTCCAGATTTGCCCGCCTTGCCTTGTTCTAGAAGAAATAGTGCTCGAGAGGTTTGGGCTACTAGGCACCATACCAGTCGAGGGGCAACGACGGTAAATGTACCTTAAGCGTCTAGTTAGTTTGCGGATGTATTAAATGAACAACTGAAGGCTTCGAGGAGAACTGATCCTCAAGTACGGTTTATTCACTTGTGGGTTCTACTAGAATTGTCTTGCCTATATGACACTGCTGTTATCTTGCTTTTGCGGTCATCCATGAAGCTACACAAGCCGGGCTATAACAGGATTAAGGTGAAAAATTTTGGCGCGTAGTTAGCGTGTGCTGCAATTTATTTCCAAACGCTGTAGTCAGTAAACCAAAGATCAAAGGATTTGAGCTCAGGAAGCTATTAAGTGGCAACACCACGCCTAACCTTCTGTCTGACCATAGCCCTTTTTCTACTTCAGTTGCTACTTCGTGGTTTTTCTCACTCCTTAATCTAATCCTGCATTTAACCGACGTTCCTTCTTAACTGCAATTAACCTACCCTTGGGCCCTTGCTGTTCAGGTTGCTTATTACTGACCTACCTTCTTCCATTAGCAGCCATATACTGCTTCATGCTTACGATGCTAAGATACGGCGACCTATGCCTGAGTCAAGCGATCAGGCGAGTCTTCAGAGAGACGTCGATATTGTCTACTCTTAGGCCTCGGAAAACTTGGTCTTGTTCAACAACATCAAGTGCAAAGTCATGCAGATCAGAAAAGCTGAGAACACTTCGTATACTACCGGTAGCGCGCGTCTAATCGCCGCCTTCCAGGAACGCAGCCTAGGCACTATTATACTCGTCGACTTGAGCCGAAGCGCTAACGTAGCGACAAGGGCGCCTGGCGCCCTTTGGCCTGTCTTAGGGGCATCCACCAGAGAAGCATTGGTTCGTCACTGTAACGGGGTTTAGGAAACCAGTCCAGTATGCTCGACCTTACCACTTAAGCGCAGGTTACTGGAGTCAGCGGATCAGTTCGATCGGGAGAACACGTGAACCCACCGGGAGGCACAGCGATGGCTGGACAGCGAATCACGAGTGGCACACGTATCCAGAAACCGACAAACCTGATTGGACAATAGAACATAGAGGGCGCACTGGCCACTCGAGAATCCCTATTAACGGCAAGTTTCAGGGTGCAATGCCAAATAGGAGGGGTCCAAAGAAATACGGCCAATCAGATGCCAAGCACAAAAGACGTGATCATTGCGCGAGACAGGAAGACAGCGACCGAAGCGGAATAACATAACCCAATGAAAGAAAAGGGGAACGCAACCAATGAGGTGAGCCGAAAAACAGCAGACCCAATGAGAAGGCTCGAAGATTAACAGTGTTTATTTCTATTAAATAGGCGACACTATACTGAATAAATGCCTGTTTTCCGCCCGCCGCCATCGTGAATATTTATCGTATCCGTGTCACTTAACAGTCACTGCAGCGCTTTAGTACGCCCGCTGTTGAAGTACTGTAGCGGCTCGACGAATGCTACACAAGAAAACCGTAGCCCGGTGAGACAGAAGACGGCGGGATATAAAGATTGTCTTGAGCAAATAGCTATGTAGAATAGCTATGTGAATATAGCTTGAGGACAACGGGAAAAAATGGTGAAGCAATAAGTAACACCACGTAGGAGCGCAACAGCCGGCAACACGCGGGCAAGATGGCGGTCCTGGTTCAAAATTGCAGTCTAGTATATATAGGCTTGGGATGGGTGCAAAGTAAAACAAAATGTGCACAAGTCTGAATGTGATGTTTGATGGGGTAAAATGTCATGGTCACTACACAGGCCTCCCCCTAGAAGTCCGAGGGACGAGGACTTCGATCGCTGTTGGCTTGCAAATGTATACAGACAGAATCACAGGAGTTCGGTTGTATTTGGATTATTTAATCTTCTTGTGGATTGGAATGCATCATCGGTGGGCCGTCCCAGCGGGCACACCGGACTACAAAAAAAACTGGATAATCCAGAAAAAGGGCCGGTAGGACCTTTCACCGCTGCTGAAGGACGGTGCGCTTGGGAGAGTGCACTCCCCCCACCGCATTCCAATCCACTGCCACAACGAAGCTGAAATCCTGTTCGTACTGGCGAGCCGTGGGGGAACAAAAATAACGAGCCAGGCACACGAGCAGCCAAAGCCAGGAAGGCGAGCCAGACAAACGACCAAGGCGAGCCAAATTGAGTCAAGCAGACCACGATCCAAAGGCCAACCTGGGCGGGCGAGAAGACAAAGCTTTGGGGGTAGACCAAAACATCCAAGCGACCAAAACAATTGAGAAACAGCCAACCATTGAACGGACAGACTCAAACGTGCCAGCCTCATGACTATACCTGATAGATGGGGAAAAACTCGGGGAGACAGATTCAGATATTTACGGAAAAGCATAATACAAACGATGAGAGAAAATGAAAAAGATTCATGAGGTGTGGATGAATTCGACAAAATCGGAGAAACGAGCAGGTTTACGAACTCTTCTACCGTGACTGGTATTAGTTTGAGGCGAATCTGGTGACTGGGATTGTGGTGGAGCTGAAAAGCTGGACGTCGTTACAGGTGGCCCTGTAGATTGCGTTAAGGTCGATGACGAGTCGAGGGCATAAAATAAAGGTTTGTGGTCAGTAAAGACGGTAAAGCTTCTGCCCTATAGAAAAGGACGAAAATGACGGATGATACCAAGTTCGGGCATGTGCTCGAATTCCGCCTTAGCGGCTTTTAGCTTATCAGGGGCGAGACGTCGTGGCCGTGCAGAAACCGGTGGGCCACGGGTTCGTATATGGTGCGTAACGTTAGATGCGACCGGAAGAGTAGCGTCAGCTGAGCGGACGAGCTGCGGAAACTGTCTGAACAGATCTAAAAATTCCCTATCAGCTTCAGGCTGAATGTAAATGGGAGTGACAGAAACACAATGTGTGCGAACTCCACATGTGAAAAGCTGGGTCTTTTAGTCAACGAGTTTGCGATGACGCGCATCGACGAGAAGATCGAAGTGTTGGAGGAAGTCGATACCCAATATAGCAAATAGGACGGCAGCGATGGTGAAAATCCATCGAAAGGGACGTCGTAGTCCGAGGTCAATGGTAAGGGAGCGTTGACCGAAGACTCGAATAGCAGTGCCGTTAGCGGCACTCAAGTTAGTTGTCTGTGGCTTAGTCGCGTCGCCTGGAACCGGTGGGATCACGCTAACTTCCGCCCCGGTATCAACCAGGAACATGCGCCCGGTGTTCCTATCAACGATTTTGAATAGGCGACTTGGACGACTTCGGCCGACGGCGTTCGTCGCCAATACGTGTCGGCCTGTCCTTTTTCTCGTTACGGGAAATGAGCATGGTTTTATACAATTTCTAGCGGAACTTCCAAAACGTGCGTGATAACGGCAAATTGGGAGTCGTGTTCGTCTTCCAGATGGGCTAGGGGAACGGGATGGAGAATCCCGTTGGTGCCGATGTAACTTTAAGCTTTGAACTTCTTGCCGTAGCTCGGCTATCTCTGTTAATAGCTCACCAGTGTAAGGTGGAGTAGTGGTGTCGATGGTTTGGACCGAAGGGTCAACAGTGAAATCTACGTCAGGTGGGCGAAGAGAACTAGACGACGGACACGGTGGTCCGGTGAAGCGGTCCATCATATCATCAGCAATATCTGCAACTTCTGACAAAGGCTGCGATTTCGCAAGCGATAGCATAGCTTGTACGTTTTCAGGCAAACGCTGAAGCCATAACTCTCGAAGCAGCGACTCGTCCATATGCAGTCCTTGAAGAAGACCACGCATCTATAGCAATAGCGCGGATGGCTTACTAGAACCTAGTTGTAGACCAGTAAAAAGTTTATGCAGGCGGGACTTCAATGAGGGAGTAATGTAACGAAACCGAAACTGTAATGGGACTTTGAACGAACCGCCACTTTTAACTCTCTTTCTTCTTTCCTTTTTCAGACTCGAACACGTTGAACAATGAATGAATCGTTATGAACATGTTTCCCATTTGACGCACCTACGGACCTTTTATACCGCTTTTGAACGACTTGCGTTTTGTTTTGTTTTGATTGTACCTCGTTGTTGGTTGTCGGAGATACACGTTGCTGTTTCCCATCGTGTTCTTCCTTCCGTGGTCTGTGACTGCCCGATTGGTTGCATCTCTTCGTGCCGCGTTCGCTGGATATCGTGACGCTCCTTCCTCATCCGATTGCATGTGTTAACGCATTCATAGACTAGTCCAGTTACTGTCGTGTGTGTTTACTGTGCGCTCCATTTCAGCCCGATCGTCTCTCGGCATTTCAAACCTGCTCTGACGGAACCGTTACAGTAACACGCTTTATTACCGCGTTCTTGAGATAATTATAGCGGTCAGGAGGACAAGATGTAATAATAAGATCACGTAGAGCTATGGTAATATCAGTTGGCAGGTGTGTGAGCAAGTGATTAAACTTGGCAGAATCGCTTGTGACATGCTTAGAAGTAAACTCAGCTTCTAAAAGCATGAACCATAAAACGGGATCTTTTTCAATAAATGGTGGAACTACAAGAGATACCGCTTGCACCGACTGTGAATCTTCACACTTTTTAGAAACTGACGTCATGGCTTGCGTGGAAAAAACCAAAAATGGAACGAACTCACCGGAATGCGATTGGGGTCACCAATTATTTAGCGGCTCTACCAATGCTACACAAGAAAACCGTAGCCCGGTGAGACAGAAGACGGCGGGATATAAAGATTGTCTTGAGAAAATAGCTATGTACAATAGCTATGTGAATATAGCTTGAGGACAACGGGAAATATGGTGAAGCAATAAGTAACACCACGTAGGAGCGCAACAGCCGGCAACGCGCGGGCAAGATGGCGATCCCGGTTCAAAATTGCAGTCCAGTATATATAGGCTTGGGATGGGTGCAAAGTAAAACAAAATGTGCACAAGTCTGAATGTGATGTTTGATGGGGAAAATGTCATGGTAACTACAGTACAGTACACTGTTCCAGCCAGGTTGCTTGAAGAAGGACAAGGCTCTGCTGGAAACCGTCCAGCGCCGAATCATTACGAGAGTGCAAATTCTAACCCACCTAACGTACGTAGAGCAACTTGCGAAAACTTAACCGTTCACAGAGAAATATCGGAGGCTTCGTGTGGATCTCAAACTAGCCCATGCTATCCTGACTACCAAAAGGCAAACTAATGCCGAAGTACTCGTTCGCGCATACACAAATTAACTAAAATGGCACTCGCACAAAAACTTATAACTCGCGGTAGTCGGCTTCATTTTCAAAGGACCAAATTTCGTGTGCGTATCACCTTCGTCTGGAACTCACTGCTTGAAACTGCTGTCTCAACACATATAACAGGTATTCAAACTCTCACGTCTTTGGCCCTTGTCTCGCTGGGCCATTCGTTTAGCCAGCTGGCAGGGTCACTACTTTTGACACACTAGCTAATATTTAACTTTACCGAACGGTCTCCTGTCTGATACCCTTACCTCTCCGTACTGCCACGTCTGTACACACACTTGCAACAGAAACAAACCGCCTACGTAACTCATTTTCCTGCACACTGGCTTATTTGTTCCAGCTAGCCACATCACAACAATCGTGACGCTGGATACTTGTGCCCCATAACACTACCGAACAGCAATCTACAAGCCATGGAACCAACCGAAAACAACAGGATCCTGCCGGCAGTCATCTTGGTAGTACCACCTAAAATGAACATCTTACTCGTGATGCACAAATCCAGGAAACCTAGGAATTTCATCCTATAACTTCCATGACCAGCAGGGATTGCAACTGCAGAAAACGTAGTCATTAACTGGGCAACAGAATATAGTCCGGGCGTTTCTTTTTAGATTCATTGTGAGCAAAGAGCATGTGATCATTTAACGGGTTGACGATGCGTTTTAACAATTACATCACGGGATTATATCCATAGGATATTATCCTATCAACCACTGTTTGCAGGATAGGCGCCACGAAACATATTTAAATTAAATTACCTAATGCCTTAAATTTATATTTGTGCTACTTGGTTTGACACCGCTGTAACTCCACCGTAAACGTCGAGTAATAATCGTTCGGCTCCCCAAGGTCGTTGTACGACCTTCGCCGTCTCTGCCTCAACCTTCATGTGCGTTCATTCATCCTTCCTCATTCCTCATTTTGTAGGGAGGAGCCGCAGTTGAAAACGCTCCCGGTAACGCTTCTTAAAAGAAGGAAGCACACAAATAGGGATGTATTCAAAGCACAAAGGGAGCGTGCAGAGCAAATTAGGAAACGCGCAAAGACTAGACGCTCTGAAATTAAACGGCCTGCTTTCTTCATTGCGGTACGGTACAGTGGCTCATTAACACACCGCTTGTTTTAGGCATCCAGAAAGCGCAGGAGAGATGAGATGCGCTTAAAGCGTGTCTTCAAGCGCAAGAAACCGTGTATGGCTGCTGATGCCAACCGCCTTGGATTAATCGTGCGCATAAAGCGCGAAGAAGAAGAGATCTCAAAGGAATGCTTGGAGATTTTACATTTATTACGTTTGGATACCTATAATTTGGCCGTCTTTGTGAAAGTGAACCAGGTATTGCTCAATACAACACTATGATTTTAATATAGCCTATGCTCGAGCTGCTTAGCTTCATCGAACCTTACATTGCTTGGGGTTATCCGAGTCTGCAAACAGTTCGAGACCTACTTTTCAAGCGTGGTCGCACTCTGATTGGACGTCGTAGCCAATCGGTCGACAATCAGCTAATAGAATCGAGGCTTGGTGAGTTCTTGGCTACCTTTCTGCAACTTGCCTCAACAATTGTAGATTGCATTTACAAGGCTCACCTTTTTGTGTGAACATGTCTGAATACTCACCCATATGTAGCCTTTTAAACTGGTTACAGAATTTAAACGTTTGAGCCAGTAGGACTGGAACGTTAGGAATTTTCCATGTACGTTCCTTCGTGAGTACCTTGTCGATCCATGGTATTTATCTACGGTGATATCGGCAATTTAAGAGAGCCGTAGCAACATGTGCGAGTCACACCAAAGTAAGGTCAGGCTTCTGGGGACGATGCTTGCCTCCGGCTATCAACGTCCCGTTTTGTAAGATAGGAAAGCCACTGCCCGAGGTATACCCTCGTCCGCTTAGATTTTCTCAGTGCTGCAAAGAGACAAAGGCACAAGCAATTGTTTTTTATTTACTTGGTGGTTAAGCTGTCGCATCTTGGCCATGGGCTGCTGGTTACAACCACTGATCTTACGACAGTTCCGGAAACAAATTCGGCTCATCGCTCCCTACGTTCATTTTCGTGTCGTCTACCCAGTCAAATACCACCGAAGTAGAGAAACCTTTGTACGCTCTACGTATAACAATTCATAACAAAATTCACGCAATCATCCAGTCTAGATCTTTGCTGCTTGAGTTTGAGTTGATGCTTCCTAGGGCTGTCCGATTCCACTAATTCAGAGATATGCAGGCTAATGCCACTACGACCTTTCTTTCATATCCCTCTGTCTGCGTTAGTTACTCCTAGTAAGACTGCTCTGTTGCACTGCCTAAGACGTCCGAGACCGGCCACAATGACTGCATCACTGTATTTGTTTGTACCAACTTTAGTTTTTGAATTTTTGTTTATATATAGTAAGAAAAAGGTGCAAAAATATTTGTAATTAAAAAACTATATTTAACTTTAAATTTTCATAATGTTGAAAATAATTTTGTTATTCAACTTTACACTTAAAACAAATGATAATTCGCAACTTGTTTACATGAGCCACAAGCTACTTTTCACCTACAGAACAAGTGTTCTTTGACGTGTTACCTCCACACCAACCAAGCTGATACTACCGAGGTTTGCTACTCTCACGACTTTCCTACTAGGATGTGTTCGACATACGTCCAGTTGTCATATTCCTTGTCTCATGCATAGGTTCACGCAGTTCTTCCGCTAAGCTCCTCAGATACGACCGGCGGGATAATTTTTTTACCAGACACAACTATAAATTATCCGAGCGTTAATGACTGCCATCTGACAGTAACAGCACTTGCCGTTTGGTCGAGTGTATATACCTCATACTTCGTGGGGTTATAAAACAATGCAGTCTCAGGCCTCTTTTCTCCAGACTTTTTAATAGAGGAGTTTATGTGCGAAGAACTCAAGACCAAAACATTTTACTTCGTTTGCACTGGTATGATATCAATGTGTATTTTTGTTCTTCGAGATAACTGCACTGAATGCTTCTACTTTGCTTCAAACTCGTTGGCATTTCCCTTTTATTAGCTCGACTAGTTCCCATCATACTTTTATTTTTCTCGGTGTGTATTACTCCCAACGCTGCCGATGTGAAGAATTTGTAACATGTGACATTGTAGCCTTTTCTATAGGGAAGTGACATAAGGAGCAAACTCCGCGCGGCCGAGATTCTTCCTTCCCGGGGCATGGCAATCTTTTTACGAGATAGTTGCTGTTCACTTCTGCCAGAATTCTAAACTTGATACCGAAATTCGCAGGTTTTTGTCGTTTATTGAAGAGAACGACAGCGGGAAACAATTTCTCGTCGATGGTGAGGTTCTGGGTTGACATATAGCATTGTTGGGAGTTGCGAATAGATGCATTTAAGAGTTCAGAAATCAAAGCAAACATGTCAATCTGTTGTCTTTCTCTCTGGTAGTTCACAACAAAACGAAAGAACCACATTATTTTTTTATTGAAATTGTTCTTGTCAATTGCTTCCCTAAAGCAGGCAAGCCGTATTCATCGTTCCACAGCATATTCAATGGCATGTTCTTCAAGCTCACAAAGTCTGATGTAAAGTAGCCCAATACAAGCATGCAACTCAGGAACACTTACGTTTCGCTGACAGCTGACGACTAAAACACTCCCGGCGTCAGCTCCAGTACATACTTGGATATTTTTCAGCATCTGGTATCAAAAGCATTCGAGGGATCAATATATTTCACATATTTCTTATCGTAGGCAGTTGATCCTGGTCACACCTTGGAAACTTTCTGTGATCTCATCCTGTCAACAGTAGTTCTATGAAACTCTATCAGGGTCCGCGATGTACCATCTTTTGATACGTGAACTTCACTAAAAGAGACAGAAACAGCTGACATACTTTCATGGCTTTCACCACCAATACTGTTCACGTGAGTAGTATACTTGTCAGAACTCTAATTCTCAGTGATGCTTTGATTTTCTGACTCTTGGATAGTAAAATTATCGCTAATGCCATGTTCATTCTCGTCTCCAGACCCGTTATAATCAGCGGTTGTAACTACTCCTAAAACCCCGAAAGCGGTTCTCTTCCTACGGGCTAGGTAGCGTCTGAACAGAAACCGAATTAGAGGACTGCGGTCATCGTGACCACTTACGGGCTTTCTAGCTAGCAAGAACACACTATTTTTTCTGCAAATGTAACATGTATCAAAGTGGAACTTAACAACTATGCTGGATGAATAACAATATCAAAAGATAAGAAATATCTTTGAAAAATGCCTACAAATGTAAACGATATGCTGAGCAGTCAACTTGACTGCGCGTACTGGTGTTAACGAAAGCGTTGACCACTTATCGATCAGTATGTGGTTCCACTCCACGTGCCAGTAAGAAAAAGACGTCAGCAATACGCCTGTACGTTGTAACACTGCCTCGCTGTCTCGTGATCACCACTAGTCGTGCGGTGGCTGGACATACTGCGACGTCGCCCGCAGCTACACAGCTTCGAACCAGTTACCTTCGTGTTTTTAGAAAGGTCAAGTCAAGTTCCAAGGACGAAATAGGCCTCCGCTTAATGAGCGTCTTATTTCTTGTATCGGCAAGCAAACCACGGCCTCCGGTACTTCGACGTTTGGGTTGCTTCCCTCTGCAATATAAGTGAAGCGAGAAAAAGAGCAACCTCTATACATTTTTAGCTCATGGACTAGTGAGTCTAATGACTGTCAATAAATTTACACTACTTCCCGGTAAAGATCCAACCAACACTTATCCAAATTTTTTTGCAGGCTTTTACAGTGGTTCTTATTCAAGACAGAAGGAAGCTTGTTTCAACCATGAACTACACAATCCTAGCCTGGACCTCTGGTGCTTAGGCCTAAGTCCATACCCGCACAACTGATGGGAGACAGCTGGTTCAAACAGGTTGAAAAGCCTGATACCACTGAGGCCCTTCATAATTTTGAACCCTTCTATCAGATCACCTCTCACTTTGCACCCTACCATGGAAAAACAACTCATCATATGACTTCCCATACTCAGTCACCCTAGTTGCCAATTTTTGGACCTTTCTTGTGCAAACAACATCCTTCCGGGAATACGGTGCCCAAGCCTGTACACAGTATTCTAAGTGTGATCGTACTATGGCATTTTATAAGAGAAGGAAAACAAGTTCAGCGTTGCATAATGCTCTTTTGAGACGGAATAGGTCCTGCCGCGCCTTGTAGCCTGCGTGCTGACACTGTGCTGAGGGTTAAAAGTTATTTTTCACAACGATAACGGTATCACGTGCTTCATCAACGCACTCCAACTTCAAGGTACCGCCATTAGTTTACACTGTAACCATTTCGATGCTGGCGTTTTTGGCACTAAGATGCAAGTCCCAAAAGTACAACCACCTCGTTACAGTACAAAGGTCTTTTGCTATCGCGTAACCATTGCCCTTGTTCCCGCGTTTTATATCGTCCGAAAAGATATAGCAAAGGTTTTCAAGGAGAGAAGCCGTCATAAATATACGTAAGGAACTACGGAGAGCATAGAACATAACCCTGCTAGCCCATAACCTAAAGGTAACGAGTGTGTCTTGTAATCTGACGGCGCGAGTTCGAGTCTGCGTAGGGGCGGGACGACATTTGCCGTATCCTTAGCCCACGTGGGACCGGTGGTGGTTGCGCGGCAGCGAAGCCTCGGTACTGCATACCGGCGTACTACTGATGCCCTTCTTCTTTCTAGAACCTAACCCAGGGCGACAACTTTGAGCAGTGCCTGTGCTTAAGCTGGAGTCACCAACTCTAAAACAGCTTCTGCAACGAAATTCTGTCATCCATTTCATTGATTGGTAATGTATGCCAAACACAACTCTTTTTCTTCACTAAAACTATAACATCAACGTGAAACTTAACAGCTATAAAGTACGAATAAAAATATTAGAAGTCACGAAACGTCTTTGAAAATGTTTACAGATGTAGAAACCATGCAGTCGTAACATTGCGGAGCCGTGGATGTGTGGATCAAATATTCTTGCTCCGCCAACTCCTCGATGGGCCCACTATTGTCGCATTTTTAGACATACAGGCTGCATTTGACTTTGTTGATCGATCTGATTTATGACGTTGCTTGCTGAAAAACGGGGTGCCAGCGAAAGACACCGCTATCTTATCTTCGCTTTACCTTCATAACTCCGGCAGAGGGTCTACGGCAACCTTTCCTCGCCCTTTACTGTCAGTAGCGGTTTGCGACGGAGCTGCCCTATGTCCTCATTCCTCTTCAACTTCGCAATCAAGGGCGTCTTGTTGAGAGCTCTGGAAGATTTCCAAAAGATCAGCCTAAAGCATCCGCCGGCTGAGCGCGCGACGGACTTAGATTATGATGATGATATCGCCTTACTTGGTGACGATCCACAAGTTATGCAACTCATTCTGGATCGTTTGGCGGTTGAAGTATTGAAGCGTAAAGTTTTGCCCCAGGATTGGCCCACACCTGCTCCCGTGCTCATTCTTGAAGGTGCACAACTTGAACAGGTAGATAGTTTCGTCTACATTGGGAGCTGTGTTTCTACTGGAGGCACTAACACTAAGAAAGTTTCTCCTCGCATCGCTAAAGCCCAACCAGCATTTATCAATCTGAGACACTTGTGAC